TATAAATAAACAAATTCCTATCGGGGTCATAACTATAGATACTTTATTTTTGATAAGCCAAAATATATTAACAACTAACAACACTACTAGGCTCCACCACTACATAATAAAGAAAATTTATGACCAAATATGGGTTCCATCAAGAATAAGTATACATGATCACAATAATACAACATAGCGATCACCTACACAAAACTACCCAAAATTAAACCAAACACCCACAATAGCACAAAATCACAATAATAATAATCTAAACAATACCTCTAAACAACAACTAAATTACAATAGATGGTTAACTAACTATATAGAACACAATCACTTCCCAATACAAATAAATAACATAGTTTAGAGGTTACGACCTATCTAGCTAAAATTTAGATTTGGAGTAAATTAGCATAGCTTTAGCTCTATTCTCTCTTCTACAAAAGATTAATGTATTATTTATAAGAAATTGTAAATTATATGTTAACATGAAATAAAGGAACGAGGAAATGATCTTTTTTTAAAAAAAAAAAAAAAAAAAAAAAATATTTTATATTATTAAATTTTCATTTATTTAAAAAAAAAAATAGATATAGTTAGTATAAGCAACAAAGTTAGAAAAATATAATACAGTAATAAGTTATACAACAGATTGGTTGATCTTTAGTATAACCGAGCAATATAGAAATACTATAAAATTATAATATAAATAAATAACTATTTAACTTAATTTATACAAATTTGGGACTAGTTAGGGTTAGGGTAAGGGTTATAGTGTATATTAAAGTTAGATTAGGGTTAGGGTTTGTGTTTTTTTATATTATAATCTTATAATATTTTTATATTGCCTAGTTATTCTAAAGAAGATCCAACAGATTTAATTTTATTAGTTTCTAAAAATTGGTTTTTGATTTTGTTGTATTTTATCTAATATGTTATTTCAATAATTTCTATTGTAGGGGTCATTTATAACAGATTGCTAATCTCTTATGAGTGTTAGAGTAGGGCGTGTTACAAAAGTGGTAGCCAGAGGATTTAAATAGATAACTTCCTAGTTGGGTTATAGGTATAGCAGCTAGTATGAAACCTTGGGCAGACTACTTAAATAAACAACCAAAAGTTGCATATATAGCTAGTCATACTCTCGTTAGAAATAACTAGAAAGCTTAAATAAATAATCTTCTAGTTAGATTGCAGGTATAGCAGCTAGTGTAAAACCCAGGCAGACTATTTAAATTAGACACCCAAAAGGTGCATGTGTAGCTAGTTATATCCTTGTGAAATAGATGTAATATTATAACTACCTGAATAAAGCTTATGCTAATGGACTAAGTGGTTATCTTAATATTAAAAAAAAAAAATTTCCATTGTAGTAGATTATTTATCAAGATCTTTCTTTATTCATAGATTTTATAGTTGTGAATTAAAATAAGCATTTGGAGATAGTTCAGTAGCCATGTAAAATCAATTAATATAGGCTCTAAATCTGATTGGCTAATTATTATAATATGTAAAAGAATTTAGTAAAGAAATCTAGAATAATTCTATTGATAATCATTTCTAAATATAGTGTGATCATCAATCACCAAATATGGTAAAATCCCTGACTGTATTACCTGGGAGCATAGAGGGCTTTAATTCTGATTGGTCAATCATTAAATGTATTGTTATATATATATTGCATATATCATCTAATTTTAAACGAATTGTATACCATAAAAACAAATTGTAGAATGAAACTGAATACATATTCACAAACTACACTTCTCACATTATATACAGTAAAAATAATTCAGAGAACAGAGAAGTAATTCAGAAGTTAGCTATGGGGTGTATTTTTGTCATATAGGCTAAAGCAATTCAGTAATCGGCAAGGTAAATTACACTTTGGCTAATAAGTGTTACTATTTTTTTTTTAATTTACAAATAATGAATCAAACAGTATTGCTAATAGTTGTTACTTATTAAATATTTTTTCTGAGTATAGATTACTCGATCAAGTTTTAAGAGTTATAGCATATTAAATATAGAGTAGTATAGAATATGCGCAATGTTTCGTAGTTAATTTTGTTTTTTTTATGCATACTGTTTATACTCTTTATAAGCATATATTCTACTTATTAATAATTGACGTTCTATAATTTATTATATTACGTATTATTTTGGTAAATTATTTAACTGTACGTACTATATAGTAGCAAGCGAGTTAGTCAATAAAGGTTATCTACATATGTAATTGTAACAATAAATTGTTAAGTTTAAAGATGTTATTTTTTTTAAAATTAAGTTTAACCAGATGCACAATTGATAATAACTATTGGGATTCGTGCATTAAATATTATCATTATGAATAAAAAATTTATAATTTTAATATTCTTTTATTAACGAATTTTTTACTTTGAACTTATTTTCTATTAGCCAATCAAATTTTGTACGTCACAAAATGATCTACAAAAAATTAGCCAATCATAATGAAAGCCCTCTATGCTCAGCCAATCACTGATGTTTGTTTACATCGGGTAAAATAGGATTGTTAAACACATTTATCGAATGTAAACAAAACAACAGATTCCAGCAGTAAAATTGTGGCGGCGATTTTGTCCTTTACAATGTATACATCAAAATTTATTCGTAGAGTTTTGAAAGAAACATTTACTTAACTCTTTAAAGATGAAATATTGCGAATGTATGCCTTTTCGAAATATTTATGAACCTTGAGGATTATCGTAAAAGCTTCATGCCTTCTTGTAAATCGTCAATGGTGTAAAAACATCATACCAACATTATGGAGCAAATTTCTCCCTTTTAATACAGTGCGGGAATCCTTAAACCAACATATAAAATACATAATTTTAAAAGTTTATAAATAAAAAACTAATATATTTATAAATTGAATCTCTTCGTAAAATAATAAAATATAAACCTAAAGAAAAAGTTTACGAAGTTTATTTTTTTAATTAATTAATATTTAATAGTTATATTCCTTTGAAGTATCATAACAAAAATTGGGCCACATATATAAAAACATAATAAATTTTCAAAAAATATAATAAAATTTCAAAAAACATAATAAAATTTTAAGCTATTAGTCAATCTGAATTTAGTATTTTATCTCAAATTTGGCCACTTTTAATAAATGTTATTGGTTTAACGATGCCCGACTGTTATAAAAAAATTTATAAGAATATGCTTTTTAGAATTAAGTGACGAAGAACAAAACCAATAATATCATTTGAAATAATACTTCCAAATGACTCAAAACCACTATTTGACACTAGTTACATTAGAAACATTGAAGTTTCTACCAGCATATTAGCAATCGAATCATAAATTGGCTTAATTATGAAGGGCGTGGGTCACTTAGTTCAATTTATTATTCCGAAGATCTATAAATGTAATTCAAACAAACAAATTACAATGTTCTACGAAAAAATAAGAAACTTAATTGTTTAAAAATTGATGAATTCATTGATGATAAGATAATAAATTTATTAGTTAAGATTCTTGATAAAAATATGTTTCTACTTCATTAAAGTTTTGGAATAACCGACTTGGTTTTAAAAAATGGAAGGCATTAGCAAATGCAATTCATAAAAATACTACATTGATCTTTTTAGCTTTATAATATTCAACTTGGTTATAGTGGAGGGAAAGAATTTGCAGAAGCTCTTTGTAGGAACAATTCTTTGTCATTTCTAGAACTTTGTGCTGGCCTACTTTATACTGAAGGAATAGCGTTAGCCTAAGCTCTTTATAAAAAATTCTATGTTAACCCATTTTAATCTTGAAACGAATAATTTTGGTCCAGAGGTGGCAGTTACGTTCTTTATAAAAATATCGTTTTAACTATCCCAAAAATTTTGGAATAGTCGTATTGGATTTGAATGAGGAAATGCGCTAGCAAAAGTTTTTCATAAAAACAATGCTTTGACTCATTTGGTGTTAAACGGTAATCACTTGGCAAAAGATCTTTGTAAAAATAACATTAATTTCATTGAGCCTTCATAATAATCAAATTGGGTCTGAAGAAATAAAAGCAATAGTTGACGCTCTTTGTAAAAACTCTACTTTGATATTCTTAGACCTTGGTGATAATCGACTTGACTCTAAAAAAGGAAAGTATTAGCTAATGCTTTTGTAAAAATACTTCTTTAATTTATTGAATTTTTCAGAAAATTCACTTGACTTTCAAGGAGGAATAGCGTTAGCAGTGGTACTTTATTTAAATACTCATTAGAACTTTATAATAACCAAATAAGATAGCACTTTCTTATATTTGATTGATAATTTGCTTATAAAAAATTTGAAATTTAGGGACATTGATGAAAATTTATTATAATTTGTAATATTATAAATATTAACCATATATCTTATTTGATTTATTCAAACATATTCATTCCTCGTTGAGCTAAAACCGTGACTAGAAAATTTGGTTAATGCTTAATACGTGAAATTGATAATAAAGGGAGATAACATTAAAGAATTTGTCATAAAAATTTCAGTCGTCTGATACGGTGTGGCGCATATATGTGGCTTAATCAATAAAATTACAGAAAAAAGTTATGCCATATCAATATAAAACCCCTAAGTGCAACTCTACAAATTTATATAAATTACTATATATTTATAAATATATAGTTTACAGATTTATAAATATATAGTTTACAGATTTATAAAGTCAGCACCATTGCTTTTACATCCAAATAGATGAATGAAAACGGCATTAATATGACTTTTTTAATCAATAATAATGCAGGCAGGGATGTGTATTTGTCTATCAAAAAAATTCCTTGTAAATTTTAATATATAATACAGCTATCCTAATTTAAACTAGAATGGTTTATCATTCGACCTTTCACTAACCATAAAGTGACTAGATTGATTATTTTGCTTTATTCGGCTGTTTAATTTTCACTTACAATATATGATTGGCTAAAATTCATGATTTCATCTTCGCCACTACATATTGGGCTACTTTTTACATTTTGTATATAATGTAAAATAAATTTGAGGACATGATGAAATCTTTTCATCAAGCGTTTTACGCACATAAAGATAATCACGATGTATCGAATTGTTTTTTGAAAGATGGTTATACAAAAAATTTAACTTACACAAGAGAACACCAGGTTACGTTGGGAAATTTAAGCCTTAAATATTAGTAGGTATGAATTATAACAAATTAGTAAAAGTAAAATGACCTAATCCCAATCATATTTAAGAAATATCATAGGGACTGCAATGCTTTAACCGCATAAAATTTGCCTCATAGTTTAGGCTGAATGATACAATATTTATTGTTAGCCCAAAATTTTCGAAAATAAACTTTTAAAAGTTCTAACTCTAAATTTTAATTTATTACAAATAAATAAATAAAAATACAGGACTAAAAAAATACCCCAAATTTCAAATTTTCATAATAAATAATCAAAATTTCAGCTTCATCCATCAAATAAGTATCAGCGAATGTAGTAAATTCGCTTTTTCAACGATTCATTCCCTTTAATAAACAATCTTATAGGAAAATATGATTATTTTAACGCATTTTAAGTTTGGAACTATATTCCTTGTTTTTAATATATTTTTATTATATCATTTGGCTTCTGCTCAGTGGAAAAAAATATTAAGCCGTGACGCTTTTCTTGACATAAAATTACATTAAAAGAACCAAATTTTTGTGATAAAACTGTTCAACAGGTTTATGAATTATTTATTTAAATAGCTTTAAAATATTGAATCTTTGATTTTTAATTTTATATAAATTTTAAATATTAATATTCGGGATATCTTGATGTTAATAACCATAAACATTTATTCTTTTGGTTTTTCGGATCGAAAATAAACCTCAAGAAGATCCTATTCTTCTTTGGGTATGTAATTACAATTCTTCAAGTACATTTATTTGTTAAATATTAATTAAAATATCTTAATGGTGGCTCAGGGTTTGATACATTTTAAAGCTTTACGTATTTTATAGCAATATAAGGATGTATTAGAACTGTACAGTACATATGTTTCTCAAAATTTTATCTGGCCAAAATTAGTAAATTAATGCTGGTGTTACGATAATTTGGGCATATACATATGTACAATTTGCTCCAGTCGTAAATTTGAATTGAGCTATGTAGCATTTCTATATAAGGCCAGACCAACTTGATTCTTCGTTTAACATAACACAAAACAACTGTAAGAATGGGGGCATTGAAAAAAAACACAAAAATATCAATGCTACAATTTTATTGGTTGATTTTATATAAGTTAGTTATATAAAATTTAAAAAATTGAGGGGGGCAAATACTATTAATTACTATTAATGTGTATTGGGTTCATATAAATTTTAAAAAATAGGCGGGAGGGGTCATGTTAAACGAAGAATCAAATTGGTCTGGCCTAATCGAGTGAAACTAGTGCTCGGCAAAATCAAACAAAAACTTAATTCTCAAGTTTTGAATCTATCGATTTACAGTATTATGTTTTAATTACAAAATCTATTTTTACTCTAATCTGACTTTAACCTTTTTGATAAGTTACCACGAAATCTAAAGTAAGATCGGACGCCTGTTAGATTTATATATTTACTAAAAATAAAATTTGTATTTATTGCTCAATACTGTAAATTGATAGATTCAAAAACTCGAAAATCAAGTTTTTGTTTGATTTTTCCGTGCACTAAGCGAAACTCGATTGCCAAGATGGTTGAAAGTTAATGTGTTATATCGTTGTTACAATGCTACTTTTATTTTATAATCAGGGAACTTATAAAATATACTTTATTGATGTGGTCATTGAGACTTTTTATACATTTTAGATCCTTACAAGGTCGAATTTAAAATTTCTAGTTAAAAAGCCGATAATTCATTAATTTTTGGGCGCATATTTCCACCTATCGGAATAATATACTTCTGATAGGCCTATCAGATATCCGATGCTTTTTTCAAATAGGTAGAAATACACGCCGAAAATCGAGCCACCAGCTTTTTAACATCCGTATTCTACTGATATCTTACAGAAATCTTATAGATAAACTAACATATAAAATTAATATTTGTTAAATAATCCGCCAATTGAGTTATATCCTGATATTGCTGTATTGTTATTTTACAATTAATTAAATTAATTATATTGCTAATTGCATATAACAGAAGTCCTTCTTTAAAAAAGGTTATTCTTTGAAATTGGTCCTTATTCTGTAAGCCTGGAGGAAATAGCACAACTATTATCAACAATACAAATTACAATATAAAATTATTTAATAGCCAACCAATACAGGGTATTCTTATGGTGACGATGTATTTGATACTAAAACTGTTGCAATTGGTGTATACACATTTTTACAAATCTTTTTCCAAGAGTTTCATAAATATGCTGTTTTGGATTTCCATGTGACTGGTGAATCGTAAGCATTAAGATTGTTAAGATTATTGATATTGTTAATATTGTTAATATAGTTTAGATAAAATTACAAATTAGCTAGAATCGTTTGTATATATTATTAACAGGTATGCTGGACATTTCATAGCCGCCATAGCCTTTGATATAAACAAATATAATCATGCAAAAAAAAAGATGTTTATTCATATCAGTCTTGAATCCATCTTGATTGGAAATGGTTGGGTGTACCCTCTAGTGCAATATAACTACTATCCAACTATGGCCTATGAGTCATTTTATGGACCAATAATAAATCAATCTTCATGTCATCAGATGAGAAAAGATTGTAAAAAATGTATTAAGTTAATTGGAACATGTTATGCTTCAAAAAACTAGAACAGATTGCACAAATGCTACCAAATATTGCAGTCTTAAAGTGTTGCGACCTTTTGAAATGAATGGTATAAATACTTTAGATGTAAGAAAACCATGTAATTATACCCGTATTTCATGTTATCTAATAGATTACAGATCGAGATATATTTAAATCGTGAAGATGTTAAGGCTGAATTGGGTGCTAATCCTTTGTTGGTCTATCAACCTCATAACATAACTGTTCAAGACATCTTCTTGAATAATGGTGATGAGTAAGCAATCAAAAATTTATAAATTAATCTAAAGATTTTGCGGCTAAATGTTCTAAAGTATATATATGTTTAAAACACTTTATTTTTTTTAATTTAGGATTCTTTCCTCTCACATATACATTCCGCCACTCTTGGAAAACAATATTCGAGTTTAATATATGCTGGTAATTCTATAAATAAGCTATTTGATTAAAATTTTCTATTAATTTCATAAATTTATTTTTATAGCCGATGCTGACTATGTTTGTAATTGGGTTGGTAAGTGTTTACTATTAAACCTATATATTATTTCAGAACAATCACTGTATAAGTGGTCTCTTTAATGAGAAAATATGTCTATTAATTAAAGCTTTTAAATTTATTATATCGAGAGTTATTTTGAGAGAATTTTATATAGACTAGTTTTGAACTTAATTCTACTATGATTAATAATTATTTTTTATTCGGGTGTTGATGCATGGACAAAAGCACTTCGAGTGGTACCAAAGGCTTTAATGATGTTAAAATTACTTCTTGGATAACAACTTATGGTAGTTATTCTGGAAATGTTAGAGCCTTTAAGGGATTTACATTCTTGAAAGTTGCACTTGGTACCACATGACCAATCAGTTTCAAGTTTAGATTTCTTTACAAAATGGATTTTCAAAAAGGACTTGTAAATTGGCTTGAATCCGGTCAAATGGTGTAAATTCTAATATTTTTATATATGTTCATGGATCAATTATTTATCAAAAATGGTCTACCAAAAAACTGGCTTAATGTTTAGAGTCGATTTCATTAAATAAAATTGATTATATAATATATTTATAGATTTAATTAATAAAGATAAATATGATTCAAGTTTCTAGTCCTAATTCTACCATTTATTTATAGAAGATAAATACAAACATTGACAAATTTATTTAAACGAATATGGACTCAGTTTTTTATATGAGACACTAATCAACTAAAATTAATATCTATAAGATTAACGCTTATAGAATCAGGGTTGTTGGCAGCAACTTATCATGGTATTTTACAACTGGGATTAAATCGCCACCTAAAAAATTCAGATCATATGATTTGCATTTTTCACATATTTCAAAAATTAATATACTTTTGTATTTGCTATTTTTTATGAAAAATTTTACTAATAAGCATCGTATATGATATAATTGATACAACTCACTCTCATTTATGGACTCTCATTATAGTGAAAGATTCGATATAGTGAGGAATATTTGAATTCCGGATTATTAAACTCCAACGCGATATATGAGTACATATAGTGAAGAATTTTTTTGTATATCGCGATTATTAAATCACATGATCTGAATTTTTTTAGGTGGCGATTTAGCCCCGTTTTAAATTACTGGTACAGTAAGCTACAATAAATTTTTACAAATGCTTACTTTGAAAAGCGTGACTATTAGAAAATTTTCTGATTATAAAATGCTAAAATAATTTCTACAGTATAATATTTCATTCAAATAATTCCAACACATAAATTAACTATGGAATGATAAAAGAGATGAAACAGGGATTAAATATAGTTAGCAGTAGAATTAATTTGGCAAATCAATACGATTGAGCCGTAATGCCCGTAATGTCGCAATGCATTACGACCAATGTTGGTCATTTTTATAAGTCCAGTAATTTGAATTGTAATTGGACTTATATATTTCCAATTGGAATCTATAAGTCCAATGTTCCAATTTATAGTCCAGTAACAAAGTTAGTCCAATTGCCCAATACTGATTACATTACGTCAGTAATACCGTAAAGCTGTTGTATCATCTAATATTAATTTTCAAAAATTTCATATTTGATGTCTAGTCAATAATGATTATTTTCAAGATGTCATTATAAAATTCCTTAAACATTTTACATATAATCAAGATTATATAGTGCCTGATCCATTAATTACGCATTTCCAAATAGAAACAAATTTTTGAAAACTTCCTGGTTTTAAATATTCAGTTGAGTTTATATTCAGGTCAACAAACTTTTAATAAAATGAGATCATCTCACCATTTCATGTGAGTCGTGCATGTGAGAAATATATATAGTAGGTTTATCTCGCGCGAGGCACATATCTACACACAACATAAGCATTATAATAATTATTGTTATAGTATCAGTATCGCAATATTACGGCACTACGGCATATAATATTTACGGCATTTAGATATTACGGCGTAATTCTACCGCATGGTGAAATCCGTATTGCCAACTATAGGAATGAAGTATGTCCAATACCTGTATTAGCTAAAAACTGAATAATTTTACGTAATAAGATGGATGATAATATGTTATTACTTATCAGTTATTATCAGTTATATACGTACGTAACTGAATTTTTTTTTATGCAGCTTTGATATTTGCAAAATGCGATAAACTAAGCTTAAAACCATGTCATTCAAATGAATCGTAATAAGTAATAATCAGCAGCGATAAGCAGCAGTTAATGATCATACGTAAAAATAGGTGTGTAAGGGGCCACCTCTACTTATAATAGCACGTTTTTATTTACGACTTATAATTTGTACGTGTGAAACGGAGCACATTAATTCATTGTAAGAGTTGCATTTTTGATACATCTATATAATATGTACAGACTTTAGTGCAACAAACATATACTTTGTTCTGGTCGCACGATGCCAAGTTTACTATTCTTGTTATTCATACTTATTTTACCGTAGAAGTTGTTGATCAACTAAATAGTATTGAATTATTTCACAATACAGTATATATTTTATTTCACAATACAGTATATATTGTAACCATCGTAAGGGAGAGCTTGATACGTCGTGCCGAGTTAGCTCTGTTAGAAGGTCACATGAGCTTGGCAATAAATTTTAGAGTGCCTACAATATAATTAGAGCGCCTGCGCTAATAATTTAGCGCTTACGCTATCTTTTTAGCGTGGACGCCAAAATTTAGAGCTGCGTAATTGTAACTTGCATTAGTACATAATAATGCCAAAATTACTAAAGGTAAGATCAACATGGCTATGATAGTACAATTATGGAAGATAAGTGACGACTCAAAGAATTTAGACAAATACGGAAATGAAGAGACATGGGTACGTACGTACGTACGTATTCGTTACGTACGTACGTATATGGTGCTTAGTGATCAATTTTCAAATTAGCGTAATTACTTTTTATATAGATCCGTCTAAAGGAATGATAAATAAATATTTAAATCTGTAGTATATAATTATTATTTGAATAAACAGTCATTACAAAAGGCATGGTAGTGACTATAGAGAAGTGGTAAAAGAATAATGGTGGAAAAGCAACTTTAAAAATATTAAAAACGCATGTAAGCAACACCCTACAATAACCGAACAATTAGAAGTTTCATGAACGCTTTAGGTATATATGCAACTATTAAAGTTAAGCTCCCACGGATTACCCGCTTTTACTTGTATGCAATATTAACAATAGTAAATTATACTATTAGTAGTACTAATGCATTAAAAAAAGTGTTTTTTATGTATTACATTATCATTCTGGTCGGTCAGATTTAGGTCATCACATGCGCTACTGCGTGAATAGACGCCCTCGATAATTAAACACCTTTCGATAAGTTACACTGTTAGTTTTAAGTACTGTACGAATCAGTACATACGCCCGTACTTATGTACATACGTGTATACGTATATAGCTTGAGCATTACCAGTAGCAAGTAATTTGTGCAACAAATAAGCAAGCCCCGACTTCGTAAGAATTATAAATACAGTAGCTGTAAATCGATAGTGATAAAAATAAAAATCATTCTTTTTTCAAAAAAAAAAAAAAAAGATGATTGCATTACCAAATGAATGCCTTTTTGAAATATTTATTAATCTTAAAGGTCGCTATGGAAGCCTACATTCATGCCTTCTTGTAAACCGTCAATGGTGTAGAAACGTTGTATCTATATTATGGAGTGAATTAAATATATTTGAAAATAAAAACCTTATAAGAACCTGCCTTTTGGCATTAAACGCTGAAGAACAAGCATTATTAGTACCATTTAACATATTTTTTCCAAATTATCCAAAACCATTATTTGAATACACGAATTATGTTGTGACTATTAAGATTTATTCTGATGAAGGAATTTTAAGGTGGCTTAGTCTTTCTAAAAACGATTTAAGGTCTACGAATATTGTTAGAGAAATTAAATATGCTTTCACCATAATGTTTCTGCGAAAATGCGAAAATCTTAAAAATATAATTATCGGTGGTGCCATTTATGATAAAACGATAAATTTATTAGCCGAGATTCTTAATAAAAGCTCAAGTCTGACCTCTTTAAGGCTTTGGAATAATCATCTTGATTCTGAAGGAGTGAAGATATTGGCAAGTGCTCTTTGCGAAAACAACACGTTGACTATCCTGGAAATTCATAATAATAAACTTGGTTTTAAAGGTGGAAAAGCACTAGCAGAATCTCTTAATAAAAATCACGCTTTGACCTTTCTAAGTCTTAAAGGAAATGGTCTCTGTACCAAAGTGGGAAGTATGTTTATGATGGCTCTTTATAAGAATACTACTTTAACTTATTTGCACTTTGTTAATAATTATCTTGATTCTGGAGGAGGGAAGGCATTAGCCGAGGCTCTTAGCGAAAATAATACTTTATTCTATTTAAATCTGAGCAATAATATACTTGGATCTACAGGTGGAAATGCATTAATGGAAGCACTTTGTAAAAATAGTACTCTTACTTTTCTAAAACTTAAAAGTAACTCACTTGGCCCTGATGTGGGAAAAACGTTAGCAAAAACTCTTTGTACGAACGCTACACTAACATTTTTAGACCTTAGTAACAACAATCTTGGTTCAGAAGGTGGAAAGGCTTTGGCAAAGGCTCTTTATAAAAATAATAGTCTAGCTCATTTAAAGCTCAATAATAATTGTCTTGGTTTTGAAGGTGGAAAAGCATTAGCAGAACCTCTTTGCGAAAATAAAGCACTAATTGTATTGCATCTTTGGAAAAACCAGATTAGTTCTGGAGGAAAGGCATTTGCTGAAGCACTTTATAAAAACACTACTTTGATTTTCTTAGATATTAGTGATAATCAACTTGGTTCTGAAATAGGTGAATTATTTTTTGAAGCTCTTAACAAAAACACTACTTTAACCACTTTGAGTCTTTATAGCAATCAAATTTGTGATAGAATTTTAAATAAAATTGATAACTTGCTTATAAAAAATAAAAATAATAAAGCTTCAATATTATATAACTAAAATAACTATTTTTATTTTTTATTTTAATTCTTATCAATTTATAAAAATAGTTTAATTATAAAAATATTGTATTGCAAATATATAAATCATATTGGCCTGTTTAGTTTTTAGTTATAAAATCATGCTACAATATCCAAAATTTATCAGTATATTTTTAAAACACACCCTATTTTTAATATCAAATCATTTAAATTGCATTTTAAAATATTTATTTATTTAAATATATAAGCAAATGTGCCAGAATCTGTTATTCAAAGTTTCATCTCATTATCTTTTTGGCTATTTGATATATAGTATACTAGGATTTATAATTATATAAAATCAAAGTTAGAAATAGTTTGAATATTTTTAAATTACAAAAAAATAATTTAAAATTTGT